GACTTCTACACAATACACAGAACTAGAGCACGTGAACATGTCACTGTAACACGGAAAATGAAGAGAAACTAATACATACTGGTTCTGTAGTTCCACAAACATCTGTAAAACGGACAGAACTGCTTGCTAATTAAAGTCACAAAGATATTCATACTGCAGTGGTGTTTCTAAATAACTCACACAAGCTGAAGGTCGAGTCTGTGACTCAGCTTTACTGAAAAACTCAGAACGGAGTACAAAAGAAAGGGGAGAATATGGCGCTAGGTTAGCGCTCGGCTAGGCGCAGTTAGCGCCCTCTCGCTGTCTCGGCTCAGTCTGTTTACTATTAGGCCCTGTGAAGCACTGCCACCGCACACAAAGCCCTTCACAATAAGAGTCCCTGTCAAAGGAGGAATAACAAATGAACCAAGCAGCATAAAATTAACATGTGATTTTAACCAGACAGAACAGACGTGCCTGACGCCACATATTACTACTACAATCACACGACGCTCGTGAGAAAGACAAACACCTTACTATTAAAACCAAAAAGGTTTATTGCAAATAAGTAAGCACCAAACCAAATATTTAAGCTTCTTTACAACGAATTTAGAGATAATATTACCTGCAAATCTGTTCAGTTTCATCACAGATAACAGCTGCATGTTTTACATGTTAGTCTAAAAAGAGGTGAGGCACGAACATACATACTAGCACTCACAACAATACCACGTGTAAATATTATATCTGCGATGTAAATTACGTATATAATACAGTATGCATATGCATAACTCACCTTTAAAAGTAAGAAAAATGCGCAATATTGCAAAAAGGCGAAAAGAGAAATATTGATATTTTTTTATTATTATTATTTCAATTATTTTCATTCGCTTCTCTTAAACGTTGTACTAGAGATATTCACTCAAGACTCTATGGCCGCTTGACATATAGCATTTAACGCAATTACTGCCATTTACTGGCGAAGAAAAATAGCAGTAATTTCCAGCTGCGGAAACAGTTGAAGTGTTACATTGCAGCATGCTGTGTTTCCATTAATAAAACATTTAGATATAGCAAATTTTTTAAAAAGAATAATAGATGTATAATGGGAAACACATTTTCATTTTCTGAAGGTGGTATTTCTCAGAATAACTGTGGCATATATTAAGATAATTCACAGTTTTAATTAAATCAAATGCCTATTTTCAGTAAATAAACTAGTTCACAGTTTATTAAACATACAACAGTTTATGTTTCTGTTGTAACAGTATGACATTGCAGTATGACATAGGTAATCATAAATTGCATGAATAGAATAGAATAGAAACTAACAGAGCTTCAAGCAGTTCGCCAATGTGTACTAACATTCTTTTTGTATTCTTGATTAACACATGAATTCCTAATTAATTCAGGCACTGAATAAAGTCTTTACTACCTTCATCTTCATTCATTAGTACAGTGATTTAGTCTTGTGGTTGTTAATATATGACTTATTCATTTGTTCCTGATTAATGACTCATTACTTTCTGATTAGTTATTTATTAGTAAATGCTTTAATTACTGCCAGTTCATGTACCCTTATTATAAAATGTTTATAATTAATTATAAAAACAGTAGTTCTTTGCTCCAAAGCACATATTTTGGCAACTTTATTTTTAAGATGTTAGAATTTGAGATTTCTTGTGGAACTGGAACTATAGTTACACTTAAGCTTTACACTTTCTAAACAATGAGGAAAATTTGAAACTTTCACTGTTAGAAAGCACTCCTTACAGCCAGCATCTAAAAACAGAAGGTGACTTAGTTAAGATTTTCAGTAAGTGAAGACTGACAGTAAATTCTGCTGACTGAAGATGTAAAATTTCAGTGCACACTCTTAAAAATAAAGGTTGCTAAATGGTTTCTGGCTTGGACACTTGGAAACTTTAATTGGAACAGAACTTTTATGTTATGTGGGTGGTCTTTAAACTTTAAAAGAGCTCTTTGCACTCACACATCTCTTTTAAAAAGTGATTCAATAAAGAAACATCTTTAGTAGTCATGCACTAATATGGTATTGGCCTTGATACTGAAAAACAGTATCAGTATCTGCAAGAGAGACAATGCCAATATCATAAAGCAATTTCTCAGTGGTGGTTGTATGTGCGCCTGTGGATGAAGCTTAATTGAAGAAAGCAGCGTGTCTGCAGTGTAGGATTATTTCACGCTTGTGACTAGCAGTTGTAAAAGTGCTCATAGCAAAATCTGTAATGGCAGTGTTTCGAGGGAGGGACGAGCAGCAAGTATTTCAAAACATCAAATTTAATTAAGCATTTTAGAATAAACCATGCCAAAGAACACAGTGACTTCTCATAGCTCTGAAACCAGTTTAAATGAACTTATCCAACCATTCATTCAAGCTTCTTGGGTTTTATTTGTGACACAGAACACTGCTTTCAACTAAATAAAATGTTTAAAAAGTGGAACTCTTTAGATTTTAGGATTTATAGGCAGTTAGGTTATATATATACAGAGTAGTTAGGTTAGATGTAGTACTGGCATTGGTACAGTATCAGCAGATACTTGAGATTCAAGTATCATTATTATAAGAGAGAAGTGATTATTGGTGCATCCCTAGTCTTCAGGGAACCAGAAGTAGTTCTTCTATGGCATCGCTCAGTATTTGGCACCTTTTTTTTAGAAGTGCACTTTTTAATGTTTATAATAAATGTTTGCGTGCGTTTGTGTGTCTGTGTGAGAGAGATTAAGATCGTGTATGGTGTGCATGTGTGTTTAAAACCCTTTCTTATTTTACTGTGCGTGTTAGATTTAACAAAGCACTTCCTCTTAATTAGTGCTTAATTACACTGTTGTGCCAGCTGCACACACACTCATGCACATGCACGTACACACACTGCTACCACATCGGCCTCTGAATTCCTCAAAGATCACATTGCCACATCTGAAAGCTGTGAAAAGTGGGCATTCTTTCAGATTTTTTCAAGGTTTCATAATCCCACAAAGTGCTGTTTCCCCTTAAACCTCCACACTAAACCTAAAGCATCACTCAGTGACTGAAAAGTGCTTCCAGAATCAGATACACTCATCAGTCTTCACTGTTTACTTCACTATTTTCATTTCATCAATTGTTATGAATGAGCATTTGCCACAGTTGAGCCTGGAACCATTCATTTACAGATGAGCAGCACCAGAAGGCCAAAGATTCCCATAAAAAAATCCCATAGGGATTTCATTAAAGGCATTTTTATCACAAGTCTGATTCCTTCACATCAGAGGAAGGTCAAAGAATGACTGACATAGGCATGTTATATAACCCATCTTGAAAAGTCTTTCTGGTATATCATAACTGTCATTAGTATATAAATTATAATCAGAGAGCTCAGAGACAGAGCTTTTCAGTTGGCTCCATCACACACCCTTTAGAGCTATTAAAGGGCCTGTATCATGAAAAACTAAATTTGCCTCACTTTTTTTTTTTAAATAAATGCTTGATGTAGCATGTGAACAAAGTTTCGAAACATACCATTCCCTTCCCTGTTCATACAGTCCATGTAGAGAAACTAAGCTGCAAAAACAGCCTGGTTTAAATTCATTGTTTTTGTAATGTCATGAAAAACAAAGCATATACATACATTTACTTATTCAGTCAACAGCACTTTAGCCCCACCTGTTCATGCAGAAGTTATAAGGAGTGTTTCAGCCCAGACTGCTGTTTGAAAGAGGTGTAACACAGGACACCTAATCAGAATAGAGGTTGTTTGCATATGTCATTCTTAAAGGCACTGTAAGCCTGTTTAAGTAAGGGAAAAGAGAGGTTAGAAAATCATTATTTTGAAAAAATTAATTGACTAGTTTTGGTCTATAAAAACACATAACACATAAATAGTTTATCAGGGGAAAAAAATAAAAATACAGGATAAAGACCCTTTAATATAGGCTATATATATATAAGGATGGGATATATATATATATATATATATATATACATATATATATATCCCATCCTTACGGAATTTACCATTTAACCTGATTTGTAGTATATTAATAGAATAAATAAATTTGGCACACTTTGCAGAAGAACAGTACAAAATAACGGTGAAGAGAACGGAAGATAATTTGTGAGTACAATTTTATTAAAAAAAACGATCATGTGTTTATTTCAAACATGTCTGAGGGAGCAAAAAGCAACAAAAAAAAAACAACTGAATTAAACAGAAAAATGATGTTAGTTAATAAAAAGTTATTATGCTATATAAAAAGAGACAACAATTAGCAGCAAGCTATACAATGCAGATGACACGGCATACTGTATATGAGACTGCAGGTTTAAGTGTAAGGAAAGACGCACTGACAATGAATCATCCATGATGTTCTTTCATTTGAGTGATTGAGTGTAATAACTCCTCTACTGATATTAAAGCTTCTTAAAGAGTAACTGAAACAGATCAGAAGCGGATGACTCAGCCTTAGATAATATAAAATGTATTGTTGATAATTTGGTACAAATGGGATAAGCTTGATTTTGCCAAATACTAATCTGGCTGTTTTACCTCTAAAAGCATTGAGTTTCACTAGCGTACACAAAACATCAACAGTGTATCAAATAAACTTTTGGAGTGGGTCGCCCAAACTGTAAAACTTGCCATTTCACACTGATTCAAGTCTGTCCTGCCTTCGATTTGTGGTGGTTAAGATTAAAGAGGACTGGTGCTACATTCATCGGGTTTGTTACATCTTGTTGTCACTTTTCATTATGCATATTATGAGTAATGATGCTGATGAAATGTCGTGAGTTAAGCTACTTTGGAATGCATTTACTGTTTGTACAAATTCTGGACTATAACAAAACACTGTTGAGTAGGGACACTGGTGTGAAAAGTTTGACATTAATTTGTGTTGAAATTTGTGTTTTGAATCATCATGCCCCCTGCCCCTCCCCCCACACACACACCTTTACCAAAGGAGCATGTATATACTCTTACTGACATCCATTACACTCACATCAGAGTTCGGCTTCTAGCACTGCCTGACATCACTCTGTTAAATAAACACTCTTCAGGTTCTTTTCGACTGCAAACCACTGAAATTATTTTCACATCAAGTTCAATTTCATCTCAACACGAGAGAAAACAAACAACATAATGAGAGGAAATTGCTGGGCTAAAATTTAAGGACACATTAACTAATGGACTAACTAAAAAAAATCCTCTACTCTGTCTTTGCTGGTATGAAATGTAACACAGACACTTTGATTTCTAACACTGAATACATTTTGAATACAGATGTAAAACATCTTTTTTTTACATTTCAATTGTGAAAGTTTGTCAGTGTAAACAAATAAATAAGTATTTACAATCATTGGCAAAAGCAAAACAAACAACTTGTTAATTCATATTCTTGCACAACAAACAAATAAGTTACAGTAGAAATAGTATTATTCTGAATATCATACATCTTCTCCAATCAACACTTGCAACCGATGCAAAACTACTCTTAAAAATGACTAATATGACACATATAAAAAGACTACATGACTACATATTTTTAAAAAATGATAATATTCAAACCCTTAGGTTTATATTCAAGAAGGCAGGACTCTATTTGGTACTAGTAAGAGTATTTGTGCAACAAAGCTGAGAGGGTCATTTGAAAGAATGCGATGTTTCTTTCTGTGTTGTTGGTGTCCAAATCGAGTCAGTTCCACTGTCAAAGGCACTTGAAGTCCATTAATCTGTGCATTCCACTAAAGTGAAACGAACCAGGACTCAGGTTCTCAGAAGACTTTCCTGTGAGTGCTTTGGTCTGTGTTACATTGATAAAGCACCACAATGATCTGAAATTCTTGCTCTGTTGAGGTTTACGTCAATGGCAGGAGATGCTTCCATATCAAAGTCAGTTGTCTGCAAAAAGAAAATGGCATATTAGTAAAGTGTTGAAACAATGCACTAATCAAAACGGTGCAACACTAATCAGCATTTATATATTCATATATTCTCACCTCTGCATTCATATTTGAGGTCAGAGAAGTAGACAAGCTCCTGAGAGAAAACAAACAACCCTAGTCTACCACCGGCAAAGGTCTTGTCATAGATAGGCCCCGAGTCTGCCATGATCTGTTTCCCCTCGTACACTACAACCCTGTGGGGAAACAAGAAATGGAAAAAAATGTCCTACTTCACTCAACTACAAGGATACAAATGTTATGTACAAGTAGTTCCTTTTCTATGGTAAAGAACAAGTGGCAAAACAAGGGTGAAAAACAGTGCAAATGTGAACGGTATGATTTAAATATTTAGACACCTAACTTATATAAAATAGCTTTGCACACGTTGTTTGGGAACGCTTTACTTGATCCCTGCTACATAACATTGACACAACCATGCCATAAACATGTCATAGCGGATTTCATATGAGTTGTCATGACAAATTTTGTTCAGTAACATAACAGTGTCATGTTGCCATTACTGGTAATTTTCTAAACAGATACCTTAATGGTTGATGTCATGACAGCTTATCGCTATAATAATATCAGACATTATCACATCTGTCATGACAATTAACAGTAAAGGTAACATGATGCAATTATATTACTGAACAAAATCTGTCATGATCAAGTAACATGTTACCCAATGTTCCTTAAACGTCGCTCAGAACAACACCTTTTATATTTGTACAGCGTTTGAAATTGCTGGCTGCTGTTTACATGGAAATGGAAAATTTCACAATGAATTACTTGTAAAATCCTGTTGCAAAGTAGTGATGGCTGAATGCTAAATACACTGTCCTAAATGTATTCCATAAGGTATTTCCATTACAATACATAAAAAAATAACACATTCAGAACACATTTAGAATACATTTAGAGTACATATTCATAAGGCACATAACTAAGCCAGTGGGTCCTAGCCCTGGTCCTGGAGTACCACTGTCCTGCAAATTTTAATATTTTCCTGCTCTAACCTTCCCTTTCAACTCAGGATGGGCTTGTTAATGAGCTGATTATTTGGATCAGGTGTAACAGGAGCAGGGATAACTGGGCATACTCCAGGACCAGAGTTGGGAAACACTGAACTAAGCAAACAATTCCTAATAACAAATATCCCAATCACAAAATCTTTTGACTATGAAGGAGGTAGCTATGGCATGTATGTAACTTCAGTGTTTGTAAAGAATTCTTCTTTAGAGAAGCCACGTGCTGATCCTAAAATAGTTAATGAACAAGCATTTATGCTGTTTCTTTTACAGATGGTATATATTTTTATATACCATAATTTAGTGATATACAAAGGTGGTTGCATTCTAAATGTATTGTCCTCAAAATGTAAAAAGTAACTGTATTCTGAATACTGCATTTGTAACTTGAACTGGATACAGATACTTCATTTCTGTCTCCTGAATGGACATTCTGAATATCTGAATTCCATTTCATATAAACCCTGTTAAGAATGTTTTTGTTCCTTTTCCTGAAAACCTGCCATTTCTGAGAAACAAAAAATGCATTACAACAACAACAAGTTGAGTAATGAATATTTTCAAGCATGTGTTTGGTACTGCTAACAGTAACATCCCTTTGTTTATGAACGGTATGTGAAGAAGAAGCAGAGTGAATTCAGACCTAATGAAGCCAGTCTTGGGTCTGTGGATGAGGTGCCAGCGGTATGCAGTGTAGTCTTTCCAGCCGATGTTCTTTGGATCATGCCAAAGCGTTCGTACCTGAGTAAGACACGCACAGAACACAAAACACAAAACAAACAAACCCTTTAATCATATCTGTTTTGAACCCTGTGGTTTCTGTAGACAGACAAAAGGACAGAAAGCCTCTGTAGAAAAACACTCCCAAAGATCTGATCCTTATTGACTCTCTGACGCAACTGTAATGATTTGCGTCAGTTTAGTAAAGTCAGCAAAGCCCAGTTGTGGGTACCAAAGTCACTTTATGTAAATGATTTCTTAATGTGATTTATACCAGCAGCACCTGAGGGGGAGCAGCTCTGATCTGCACTGATTAAACAGATATGCACTGATGAATGTTTTTCCTGCTTTAACCCCACTGATTCGGTTCACCCACTGATTATAAAGCCCTTTTGTGTGTTAGAGCAGGGACCAAAGGACTGGAGTTCAACACCCCTGATTAAGAGAGTAAAGGCCCACCTGGTCTTTGGTGTTGCCTGTGTGCCAGAGGGCATTGCGCAGGTTCTCTCCTGTGCCCGTACTGGAGTTGACCACTTTGAGTGATACACCAGAGATGCCAAAGGCCTTCGATGGCTTGTCCTCCCAGTAAGTCTGTGTTATCTGTTTCCACATTACTACATAGAAGCGTCGGCTGGACTGATAGCCAAACACAAAGCCTGCATAGTCATCATCCCGGTCCGTATTCACATAGAAGGTTCCACTGAAATCCACGGAGCTGAATTCATCATAGCCTTATAAAAAAAAACAAAAGATGTCCAGTTTTTTTCTCAACTGAAAGGATACAAATGTTATATTATGCTTTATAAGACACATTTAACTTCATAGGCTATATGTGGTTACTGGTCTCTATTCAGGTCATTATTCACATCAGTCTACAGAAACTGATCTTAGTGTTAAGATGATCTTAACTGGTAGAGATAGTGTTCACTGTGATGCTCACTCTACCATTTAAGAATCATCTTTGTGTTAGGATGCTTTCAGGAAATCCAGCCCAGGAGAATCAAATGAAAAACTAAAGATTTTTAGACATAGTATAATATGATAGCCTGGGCTGCACAACATATTATCATGATTGCAATATTGGCATTTGCAACACTGATACTGGAGAAGCCTGTTCGCTGACATAATGTCGCTGTCCATGTCCATGGCTGTGTCATGGGGTTTGCTTACCGACTGCAATGCCAGGGTCAGAGTTGGCAGTCTGTACCAGCTCTTTGCCCTGGTTCCGGACCACCCAGTTGGGGTCGATTTGAATGGTTCCCTTAGGATCCAAGTGCACCATCTGAAACTTCCTGAAGTCTGTGACACTAATGGCATTGTTCTCTGGGCACGCGTCAAACAGGTCAGGGATATTGTCATTGTCAAAGTCATCCTTACAGGCATCACCACGTCCATCCCCTGAAAAAACAATGAGAAGTAGTCATACCAACTGATAACCTGATGTTAAGATGATTGTAAATTGAATAATCAAAGAACCATTGATTTCTATACAATGTGAGCCATTGCAAGTAGTATTCCACAATATAATGTGGATTTTTGTGAACAAGAAAATTTGAAAGCCTATTTACCTTGAAATGTCAGATGTTTGCACTTTACACCGTAGCCATTCAGGCTTTATAGCTGATACTGAAAGCAGTTGACTGTTTGATTTAGCACTGGCATCTCAGTGCACCCCTACATTCCAACCAAGAAGCATTTTTCTCTCATTATGATGGAAAGTTTTGTTCCTAAAGCTCATTTAGCCAACAAGCTGTGACAGAAGCAACTAAAAGCTTGATAACAGCTGAAATGAGCACGCACTTTTGCGCCAAGGCTAATTTTATTCCACATTATAAATAAGAATATTTTACGTAAGAAAGCTAAATCCATTGTCCCTGACTTTCTACTAGCCTGTGGTTATTCCACTGTTAGACTATTATAATTCATTGACATTTATTGAATTGCACATAGAACTGTTATGTACGTATCTGAAATACCTCATAAAACACAGCAACATGGTGCCAGGCACAAAACACTACCTTGAAGTGTGACTCCACTGCATTTTTCATGCCAGTAAAAAATTTATGTATCTCATAGCACTCCTCTTATCATGCCTCTTTGATTTTCCATTTTTTTTATGAGATAGGTCCTTGGATGACCTTCATAGGAAAATATGAAAAAGGACCAAAATAATTCAGTCTTGCTCCCCACACAGTTGAGGGCAGGAGAATACTGTGAGATAAGCAGGTGTGGGGAGCCCAGAGGAACATTCCAAAAGAAATGGGTCTGATGTCTCCATAGCTACCTGATGATCTGCAGAGTATACACGTGAGGCTTCAGCTCCACATATCTCAAATCAGACGCGATGCCCCGGGCGACCCCTACCTCTCTCATAACCTCACTAGAGCTCTAACTCTCTGTCAGGCCATTTACTGGGCACATTCTTGTCAGCTACAGTGAAGAACAGCAGATCACTGAGATGCCATAAGTAAGCATACATAAAGCTGACACCAGATCCATTTATTTTAATCTAGCACAAGCACAAATGGCTAATGACCCCAGCTGTTGAGCATTAACATTCTAGTATCATTTAAAGTGTAATCTCATCTTTGTGGAACAAGAATTTGCCCCAAGAGGGGTTTGAACCCATGACCTGCTGTGTTGACTCCTCACTAAGTTGAAGGGTTCCACTGAAAAGTCAAGAGTAGAATGTTTACATGGGCAAACAGAGTAAGATCAAGTCTAGAGCTGTGTTTCAGCCTGCCCTCACCATCCAAGTCTAGTTGATCTGGGTTAGCCACCAGCCTACAGTTGTCCCGGTCATCTGGAATTCCATCATTGTCATCATCATGGTCACAGGCATCTCCTTTGCCATCATTGTCATGATCTGCTTGGTTGGCATTGGCAATGTAGGGACAATTATCCATGTTATTCTGATGGCCATCCTCATCAATGTCCTGGTTGTTATCACACTGGTCTCCAATTAGATCATTATCCACATCAGTCTACAGAAAAAGAACAGAAAAATTAGAAAATAGTTTCTTAAACATATAGAACTGTGCAAAGGAGACATCCCTTCATTTCTTTCATTTCCAGTCAAAATGGCCATTAGGTTACTAAATTCTCAGCATCAGGAAAAAACAGGAAATGCTTTTTAATACAAAAATCCACAGAAGCCTCAATAACTAAATACGTTTTTCAGTATTGAGTGTGTCCACTCAGTACAGCTTTCATTTTTTCCCAGAAGACCTGCTTTCAGTTTTTCAAAGAAATATGCAGGGATGTTTTTTCCATGCTAATTGTAAACACTTCCAAAGGACAGTCTTGGTTGCTGGTTGCATTTTCTGCTTCTTACAATCCAAATAATCTCAAAAACAAATTAAACTCATCAGTCTATAAAACCTCACTCCACATCTCAAATGTGCAGTTTTCATGTTCCAGTGTAATTCTTCTTAACAGCTACACATCCTTTCAGACTCATAGTGTTGAGTTGTTTTTTCATAGTGCAAAGGTGGACAGAAACACCTGTGGATTTTTTTCAGATCTGTAACAAGAATGGAGCATGGCTTTCTCCTCTCTCTCAAAGAGGAAAGTCTGCCAGGTCTTGCACAGTCTCATTTTCCATCTTTCAGATATTTTTGAACTCTGGTTTTGAAAGCTTCTGTTTTTTCAATTATTTTCCTTTGATTTTCCCCTTCCATACGCATCTACCCTCCACTGAAATATTTCCTTTAGCCATTTTAGATGCACATGAGAAAGACATCTGCAAGGCAGTTGAGGGTAATTGTGTGGATGTTAGTGTCTACTTGAAGGGGAACATAATGTTAGTGACACTTTTGTTTTGTTTTTTTTTTCATTTGAGAGGACACAGTTGTAACTGTAGCTGTAAGATTTGAAGGATGGAAGAATTAACGTGGGAGTAGTGTGCACAAAAGGAAGGAGTGGAAGAATTAAGTGCTGATAGATTAGATTTGAAGTTGGAGGCATCTGTTTTTCTTCAGTTAAAAGTTAAATTAAGTGTTTTATGCTTTTTGCTGACACAAAAAATGAATAATGTGTACTTAAAGGTCATTTTGTCTGGAAATCAAATAAGTGAAAGGTCTCTGATAATTGCACAATACTGTAGTACAAATTATAACTAGGGCTTTTAATGTTTGTCGCAATGCTGGCATTTGCAATACTTATACTGCAGAAGGCTGCAATGCACAAATGGCATACTGTGTTCTTTGAGCATTTTAGCCAATCACAGTTCCAGTTTTTCTCTGGGTGTTTTGATGAATCAAGGTGTTTATGCAGTCCAGCAAATGTAAATTATTGTGGTCAAAATAATGCAAAACAATTTTGAACTATGTTATATTATTTATAGTTTTTTGGTTCAATTCCAGTATATAGTAATATAGCACTTTGTCAATATTGTGCAGCCCTAATGAAAACTAATCATAACCCATGCTCAAACACACCCTGTCCCCATTCTGACCTGCTGTGGGTTGTGGACAAGGGGACAGTTGTCACACTGGTCCCCAACACCATCCAAATCTGTGTCTTTCTGGTCAGTGTTGTAAATAAGGGGACAGTTATCGTTCTCATTCAGAATTTCTAGAAATCAAGAGAGTAAACAGAAGTTAATCATCATCTTCTGTATAAGTGAAATATAATGGTAAGAAATCACAATGCTGATGGATTTGGAGCAGTTCATGTTTCATACCATCTCCATCAATGTCAACAGAACAGGCGTCTCCCTCCCCATTGTTGTCCGTATCAGTCTGAGCAGGGTTGTGCTCATATGGGCAGTTATCACATCGATCTCCCACTGCATCCTTATCATAGTCATACTGGCGGGGGTTGTACATCAAGGGACAGTTGTCCTGAAAGAAAATTTGCAAACATAGTTTATGTGGACAGGAGAATGAAGGATGTCAGTATGTTTTTTTATTATTTATTTTGGAGATATTCAGTGTTAAACAGTGAAAACACTCACCCTTTCATCCACAATGTCATCATTGTCATCATCCTTATCACAAGCATCTCCTTGTCCATCATTGTCAAAGTCTTCTTGACCAGAGTTGGGAAGGGTAGGACAATTGTCCTAAAACATTCAGTTACTTTGATTATTTTCCAATTAAGAACATTGGCAGTTTTGAGAATTCAGTTACTCAAAGCTGCCTGAACACACATGAAACTACATTTTTCTTACTTTTTTGAAATAAAAGAGTTTTATGTAGTATGAAAACATTGTATTAAGTTTCAAAATGTATGGCTTACTACCCAGTCCATAGTCTATATTTGAAAACTAAGCTGCAAAACAGCCTGTTCTATTCAGCCTACAGCAGTTTAGTCCCACCCATTCATGATGAAGTCACAAGATGTGTTTCACAATACATGACAGCCAATCAGAACAGCAATCATTTACATATATCAGTCTTGAAGGTACAGTAACAAAATCAGCCAGTTTAATTCTATCTAAATGTATTGATAAAGAGAGGTTGGAAAATGCTTGTGTGAAAACGAATTACAATTTTGGTGCATAAAATGGTGAGAACATCATAAGGTGATCCCAAGAAAATAAATAAAATGCAGTGAATTGATTGATTATCTTTACCTTTTTTTTAGTTTTTTTGAGTTCTTGCTTCTCATGCACTCAAATCTGCTATGCCTTAACCTGCCTTCAACATGACGTCTTGCAGACTGTAGCTCTGGTTTGTCTCCGGGGTGTGTTATTACACAAATCAGGCCATTACCATCAAAAGCGAAGAATGATGTAATCACAAATTTTGTGAGTTCTCAATGTGCTTGCATTCGCCCTTGTTTAAAGCTCTAGAGTAATGACATACAAGGGGTGTATTGCATATAAAATATGTTCCTCGATACGGCATTTGCTTTTTATTTTGCTTTAAGGGGGCTGCATATGTTTTGGTTCATGTTGTATCATTGTTTTCATCTCTGGTGAATGGCAATATAGACCAGGTGAATTATTTTTTCTGTATTTGTCCAAACAGATTTATTACTGCAACTACACTCCACCTCTCCCCTTTACATAAAAACAGTGTATAAACTGCAGTTTTCTGTGGTGACACTCTGGCTGCATCTCCTGAATTTGTGGGCTATGTTTGCATGGTAAATGTGGGCAATGTGGTACCTTTTTGCAGTGGTAGGTGGCATTGGCTCCACACACCAGATCCTGATTGGGCCATCCGTCCAGGTCAAAGTCCTCTCCACAGATGATGCCATCTCCAGCGTAGCCGATACGGCACTCACACTTGTACATGGGCTCAGTGACATGGCTCAGGAAAATACACTCAGCATGCTTATGGCAGCTGTGGGTGTTGTCCTTACATGGGTTGTAAGGCTCACATACCTATTAAAAATGGGTTGTGACAGAACATAAAGAATTACTTAACATAAAACATAGACTCAGTAGCTAATTTACAGGACGGCTTCTTAATACAATCAGCATAAGCAGTCACTATGGGGCCCTGAGCCACCAGGGGGCCTTGTAATGTGTTTTTTTTTTCTATTTATATTCTGTGTCAAATATCTTATGGAGACATTCTTGAAAAAATCCTAAATATTCTTAATGTAAAGAGCAGCTTATATTTTCAAATTACAAAAGTATGTTCAATTAATGAAAAACTACAAAAATGTAGATGCTAGGTTTTGACAGTGACAAGTATTACCCTAGTTTTGTAGTTCCTTAATATTTATGAAACTTGTTCCTGTTAAAAAAATGGTGAAGTATTAACTCTCTTTCATTCTTGCATACAAAATTTGATTAGTGCAGGAAGGCGCCATCAACAAAGCTGTTGCTTAAGGCCCCCCAAATATTCAGAAATGGCCCTGCTAGTGTAGCTCTTGTAAGAGAATCAACATACCAATCCTGTGAGCAGAGGGCTCTGGGACTGACCTGTTTGTTGGTTTTAGCTGCCTCCACTCCCATGCCGTAGGGCTGCGTGCCTTTGTAGCGCGGGGGGCAGGGCAGACAGTGGAATCCTGGATCTGTATTCACGCACTGTTGCAGCCCACCCACCTTATGACACACATCTGACACCATATCACACTGCACAGGACGCCACATGACAGGGGGAGGGACAAAGTAGGTGTTGCAGAAAAGGAGATTGCACAAAGTTTTTAAATGTGATATATTATATACACATAATGCTGGATGGAATTAGTCCGCTATCAGATTACTTACCTCATTCACGTCTTCACAGGAGGTTCCATTTCCACGGTAGCCTGATGGACAGGGTCCGCACTCCCAGGAGCCGTCAGAGGCAGTGCTGCACTCCACTCCAGCAAAGCACGGGTTGGAAAGGCAGCCATCTGACAGAAATGGTCAAATACCGCTCAACTGACTACACTATTCTAATGAAATCCAGCTCAGTCTCGATGGCTTTGAAAAAGGTCATAATGTTCTGGATTTGCATTCAAAAGAACCTTAGGAACTATTAGATTTATATTATGCTGCAAAATACTTCTATAATAATCTACAAGACTTATAACTCTGTATAAAATTTGTGTAGTGCTTGTCTTATAATAACCCCTATTACTTGTGTTATAGCATATTATAAACTATAGTAATTGTCTCAGTTAACTATAAAAATCCTTATAGAAATCCTTTCATGTAGTACTACTGTAGTTTTTTCATGAACCACTTCTACCCACTATATTTATACTATAGGCTCATTACTTGGTAATTACTATGCATTACTTAATAACTAACATGTAAATTAAATTTAAAGTACTGTATGTAATTATATAACAAAGAAATTAAAATATGGAGATTAAAACATGGCAAAAACTAAAATAAAAGCCATGATCCTTCATACACTTACTGATAGGGCAGCCCTGTTTGTTGCAGACTTCATTGTCGATAGAATCTCCCATACACTTCCTGCCCCCATGCTGAGGTGCGGGGCTGTTACACTCCCTCTCACGACTCTTCAGACCACCACCGCATGTTGCTGAGCAGGTTGCCCACGGTGACCATGGGCCCCAACCACCATCAACTGTATGAATACAGACAGTCCACACATGAATTAAATACATGACTTAGGTACACATGAGTTTCATAGGCCTTGTCTCAGATCTGGTTTCAAGGAGTCTCTATTGTGACCTGTTGAAAGCCATGTTTGTGTGATGGAATAATATTGCTTCTCTGGGGTGCACGTTTAGTTTGCCGGAACATCTGTTTGGGATTTGGTTACATCTTGTTTTTGCCCTGTTTGCTATTTAGTTTTATGTTCCCTTTGTTCTATTTGAGTAATTGGAGTGATTGAAAAAATGCAAAATAAAAACCTATTAAACAAGAGACAGCAAAGCAGTATTTCAGTTTGGATTTCAAAGAGCTAAAGACAATCCTGGAAGAGTAAACTCATGTCAAAATTCCCCAACATTTGAAATCTATCATTCAAACTGAGTCTCCTCACTCTGGATTGTATGTTGCATTACGTAAGAACTCTAATACGGTAATGCGCCTTGAGTGCCTACACATGCTCCACTAATGTGGAAATAGCACATAAATGCCCAAAGTCAGCAGACGTGTGCGCACACAGCTCTGCCTCTCTTTGGACTTCTCTCCAGCCGAAACTAAATCCTCATCAAGAGGTTGGCCAAATCTTAAGCCCTCAATGCCCCTGGCTGGAGAAACCCTGCCGTGTTTCCAACTGAGCACAGTTGCCTCCTGTATCCCCCAGGACAATCTCATTTATTGGGCGTGTCATGAGAGTCTTACCCATAATCCCTTGTGGTAAAAGTTGCCAACCCTATAGTCGTGTATCCTCCCAGTTCTAATACTAATATGAGCCCTGGAAAGAATGACATCACTCACTCTCTCTCTCTCTCGATCTCAATCTCTTTCTCGGCTAAGCTTTGGAAAGCAGGGAGTGGGCAAGGTGGCTTTTAAATGAGCATGTGTGTGGTTGAGCTTGTTAAATTTTGTCGTCGTTGGGCCACCATACTCACTTGGGCAAGGCTCAGTCTGGCAGCTCTGCGTCTCTCTTCCTTCACCCTCGCAATCTTTGCCTCCTCGCTGAGGAATAGGTGCGTTGCAGTGACGGATTCGAGTGATCACTCCCTCCCCACATGTCACAGAGCATGAGGACCATGGAGACCACAGACTCCAGCCACCATCCTGACGAACTAAACGAACAACAACTCAATGTTTTCTCCATGCAGTTACCTCAGACAGAGATAGAGTTTTAACTAGGAGTGTAAAAATGCATCAATGCATCATGATGATGCATCAATGCATTTTTACACCCCTATTGAATCTATGAAGATTCTACTGCATCGATTTTTAAATATAAGAATTATTAATAATCCATCCTGATAATCTGAAATAAACCATGCACCTATTGTTTGGCCAACATAACATTTTCAGCCTGTTTTAAAAAGAGTAGTGCGTGGTTTGTATTATGTTGTGAGGTCAGAGATTTATATGCCTAGCTTTGTCAGGCAGAAAGTAAGCATGTTATATACCTCTCCGGTCACATTTTCCCAGGCTGCACCGGCGAGTCTGGATGGAGGGGCCAGAACATGTGTTGCTGGTGTCGTCACACGATCGGCCTCTTTGCTGTGTACCGCTGCCGCAGGTGACTGTACACTGGGTCCACTCAGACCATGGAGACCAGCCATCTTCACTGTCCATTGCTGACCACAGAAATACAAAAACACAAATAAACTGTGAAGCACCTGTACGAGTTCAGATTTCAGTTGCTCTCTCTTACATTTTACTTGTACCAAGGGAGTTTGGGGGAATTTGTCAAGTGATTTGACTGACTGATTCATACCAGATAAAGAATCAGTTCCTCAAATTGAAAGTTTATATTCTCAGGATGCTCAAATCAGCATTATGTGACAAGCACTGCACTCAATAACAATAACACAGAGCACAGGTGAATCTATTTACAGGATTTGTTATTACATTATAGTGAGGTCCATTCAAACACAGTTGTTAATTCCAAGGGAGTTCTAAGGTCGGTGACTTACAGAAGGTCACATTCATACTAGACTAAATTCTTATTGGTAATCATTAAATCATAGTTTTCTTAATGTAACGTAAAACTAATCCAACTTTAATAAACTACTAGTTTTTATAGTAGTTACCAAATTATTTACAGTAGTTACTGAATTATAAGTCTAAAGCTTCATAACTAAACAATAGGCCTGTAGTTTGAAAGGTGAAAAAAAAGACAAAAAGTATCATTGATGTTTGATATCTTGGAGTGTAAGGCCACTCACGAAGGCAAACTGGACAGCACTCCCCATCGATGAAGGAGGGATTTGCACAAGCCACCGGAGGGCAGGTAATCTGCCGACACACCACTTTCCCCTCCTGACATGTGCACTTGGTACAGCTGTCCACAATCCAGTCCTCCTTATTCTCAAACATCCGTCCATCCTGCCAGCACATGCTCTGCTCCACCGGGTCCTGCATCTTATTGAGGGCCTCCCGCATCGCAGTATTCTCCTCCGTCTGAAACCCAGCACCAAACAGTCTGGATGAGCCAAAGGGACCCATGTTTCTCAACGGGGCCTCCCCATCCCATAATATCCAGCATATGCTTACAGCAGCATGCCGCCTTCAGATAGTCATAAATTTCTACACAACTGAGAAAGTGCATAAAACACTGTGATTTACTGTGCAAACATTCCTTCCACAGGTATGCGGGTAGACACCAATTATGGTCCAATTACCTAGTTTAAGCAAACGGAAACAGTGAAAAATTGCCCTCAGTGGGGTTTCTAGCTTGTTCAGCCTCTAACCGGGGCCCTTCACACGGCACCAGCCTGACACGTCTGTTTGGACAAAACCTTAAAAATAGACATTCTAAAAGTGAAAGACTCACCACTTTCTGTAAGCCATCAATGAGGTTGCTGACAACAACACGCAAGCCTTTGAGCTCCTCAAAGAGATTGGCCAGCTCCTCACAAGATCGCTCACACATCAGCTCTGAGGAGCTAGTGGCCGGGGGTTCCGGGTTTTGACCAATCAGGTTCGTGGCGATGGAGGAAGGAACATCCACCTGTTCAGCACTTTCACTCACTGTATTGTCCTCCTCTGGTCACAGAGAAGAAGACAAAGAGGGAATTATTAAAGGAATAAAGTTTAGCAAAAAAACAAGTTTACAAAATTTCCCCTTTACCTCAAATGTAGTTGATCAGTCAAAATGTGTTTGAAGTTTGCGTCTGTAGTTTTGTACTTGAGCCTAATGTAGCTGCACATTGTGATGCCATGCTGTTATTTAAATGGCTACTTCTACTGTTTTTAGCTATGCAATGTACTGCACCTTATTGAGGGCCTGCCACATCGCTGTATTCTCCTCCGTACAACATGCAGTAGATAAAAGCATGTTGTACGGTCTTCAATATGACAAGTGTGGATGTATTTTAACCTCTTAAACCCTTAGGGCCTTTCTGTCAGACCATTCACTCTCATGAGTACATATTAATTTCTTCATAGTTACTAAATAATGAATAGCAATTCCTGAATAATACGTCATAAGAGGCTTGATGTACTATATAAAAAAATGCCAGTTTTTATAAAGCCAAGGCATTTACATATGTCCACATAATCAGCCTACAGTGATTTATCCCTGCCCATTCTTGCTTAAGTTATAAGGAGTTTTTCTGCCTGGACTGTCTTTGAATAAGGTTCAATACAAGGCAGCCAATCAGAACATATCATTTACATATATTAGTCTTAAAAGCACAGTAACACAAGCCTGTTTCATTCTAAGGCCTAAAAAGAGGTTACAAAATGGCCATGTAAAAGTGAATTATGACTGTTTTGTCAAAGTTTACAGAATTTTTTTATCTTGTTTCATTGAGTTACCATAATTAAACAATCCTGAAATGGTACCACTTCAGACATCAGATATGTCTTAGGTATATAATCTACATTTGAGATAGGGGCAAAATGTGTAAATGTGTGTAAATGTGATGGTGAAATTACACTATATTAGTCTCTGTACAATGAACCACAAAATTTTAGTCAGAACCTCAAAGGATCATGTACAGACTGAGCTCAAGTAAAAATTCAGTTATTTAAACGAGATCTCAGTCATCTGGGTGAAGGGAGGTGAAGTTGAAATATATAAAGTGTATCTGCCTTCAAAGTGAACAAGTCCTGTGTTTCACAGCCTGTATTATGTATCTATGGTCATTCAGTTTTGGCATCTAAATCTGAATAGCCCCTCATGGGCTTGTGGCATAACATAACATGGAAAATACAGACATAAGCATATGGCAAAGGCAAAAATGTTCTGGAAATGCAATGCATAGGGCTGAAGCATGTCTGAGTGTAAAGAACAGGAAGCTGGAGCCATGGGGGGCCAGGAGAAGCCATGCTTCATTCCTGTGCTGACGGCCCCGGGGATAGCATGGCAGTCAACCACAATTTCATGACTGCTTGTGAACAAAGAAACAGAGACAGACTGGAAAAAGTTTTTTTTTCTTTTTGTTAAGGAGGGGGGTCCTCAGCGTGATATCTAAGCCTGCCTGTAATAAACCCTCATTATGCACATGACTTAGACACTTAAAGATTGTTCCAAGGATCCAAGTAATCTTGAGCCCCAGTTTCCAAGGCCCCAGTGACGTCACACATGTACAACCACAAGTTTTCGTGACAACACATAGATCTCTGCCAGCGTTCGCCAGTTATTCTCCTTTGAAGGGGACATTTGAAGCTATTTTAGGGGCCTATAAAAACACTGGCATGGCAGTTTTCTTGAGGAAGCCCACCTACTGCACATTGCTAAAAATATGTTACCCGACTTGCTGCAATGTATACAGTAAATACAGGTCGTTCACAAATTAAATACAGCGTATGAGCTTTTTATACTGCTGTGTAATTACAGGCATAGGTTATTATAGTTCATCGCTGTCATGCCAACTCCTTTTTCTTTTTTGCACACAATTTAAAAATGCCAGCCGTTCCTTACATATTATGGACAAGTAGACCAATAAAAATGGTTCAGATTACTTGGAATGACATCTTGTTACATTGAAGCTGCAATATGTAAGATTTTACATGTTAAAATTGGAAGAAGGAAAGGAAAAAAATGTTAAAATATGGTGTGTGTGCTGTGGTGTGAGTCACCCTGTAAAGCAAGATATAATCATTTTCAATGATCAGAGGTGTCAGGTCACATTTTGCAGAGGTTTTTCAGGCCATGTTATACATCTTTATATAATTGCGTCACACGTACAAAGTCAAAAAAAGGTCCTTACTTTCAACATGCTTACAATGATCAGATTCATCCGTAAAGGAAAGGGGTCTGAAGCATAACTGACATTACAAAATGTTCTTCTGCACATTGCATGCAATTACACATTTCCACCAGGGAGGTCTCCAAATCTTCAAAATGTACATCTATGATCTAGCTTCAACACTACTGTGAATAACATTTGTTTTTTCTCTTTTTCCACTCTGAACTCTGACAGCTCTCCTCACCTCTGACACTGATAAATCATGAGCCATATAGAGCTGATCCTTTGGACAGTCACAGAGAAAAGAGGTCTTGCAGGCTTTATCTGACAGCATAAACTATAGCTTAATTTTCCAAGCAATTTTCTATGGTGGCATTGTTTTCACAATCTGTATTACTGCCCCCAAATTGCAGCAAAATCAAAACAAACTGATGCTGCTGAGCTGTAATGTTTGGATCTGTCAATATCATTTTGAAAACCTTTGAATAATGTTACACAGTATAAAGCAACAGTCTGAAATCGCAGACTAATTTCAGCCCCAGAGATCCACAGACAGGAAAAGGTTGATTAGTAATTAATTCAGCAGGAAATATTAAATCTTACAGAACAGTTCTATATGTAGACAGCAATAGTCTGTAGCTGTGAGTTCACTCAGATATGCACTGGTCATACACTAAGCACGCCAAAGGTCCCTAAATCAAGAAAGCATGTTGGCCTGGACGGCAGTTTCTTGAGCCAGCAATTTTTTTCACTCTTCAATTCTGTGTCTGTTAAATGCATTTAAATCCCCAACGACTGTGTGCTGGCCTGCATATGTGTATGTGAATGTGTGCTTGTGCCTGTATGCCTGTGTGTGACCCCTCTTTCCTGCCCTTGCTGCTTTCTGTTATATGACCTCAAAAGTGGCCTCTTGGTCTAAAACAGACATTATTACCTCCACGTCAAAGCTGGTTAGGTCTGCCCTGATTTGGCATATTTTCCATTTAAGATGACATGGAACCAGCTTTGATAAATTAAGCAAAAATTATCAGCATACTTAATTTGCAAGATTATTGAGAACTGCTCATCAATAACCAGACTCAGAGTGAATTAAACTAATATGACTAACATGACTGAGCTATCAATAATGTCTCAATTCCAAAAATGTCAGGACAGTATGTAAAATATAAATAAAAACACAGAGCAGTGGTTTGTACTTTTGATCCGTATTTAGATGAAAACAGTAAAAAAGATATTTAGTTTTGCTGTATCAACTTGGGACTGTGGCAAAGGAACACTGCGGAATGTTCCAAAAACATTTAAACAGGTGACACAATTATTCTTGGGCACAAAAGAAGCATCCAGGAATGGCCTAGTCCTAACAAAGCTTGCTACTTTGCCAAAAAAATATGTCAGCAAATAAGCCAACAATTTAAGAGCAACATTCCTGAATGAGCGATTGCTAGTATTTTAGATATTTCACCCTCTACAGTGCATAACATCATCAAAAGATTCAAGTACTCAGAAAAAAATCTGTGCATAAAGGGCAAGGCCAAAAACCACAAATGAATGCCCATGACTTCCAAACCCTCACACAGCATTGCAAAAATGCTTCTGTAATGGATATTACCATTTGGGCTGAGGAATATTTTGACAAACTGTTGTCACTAAACACTGCTTATCACTGCATCCACAAATGCAAGTTAAGCCTGTGTTATGCGCTGCAGAAGCCATATGTCAGCAAATTCCAGAAAGTAGGCTGACTTCTCTGGACACAAGTTAATTCAGAAGGGACTGTTGCACAGTGGAAACGTGTGCTGTGGTCTGACAAGTCAACTTTTAAGATTGTTTATATATATATTGAGTGTTGTGCTCTCCAGACCAAAGAAGAAAAGGACCATCCAGATTGTTACCAGCGTAAATTTCAAAAGCCAGGGTCTGTCATAACAGAGGTGTATTAGGGCCCATGGTATGTGTAGCTTTCACGTTTGTGACGGCACCATTAACGCTGCATGACATACACGCAATCAAGGGCAACATATGCTGGACGTCTTTTTCAGGGAGATCTATGCTTATTTCAACATGACAACATGGCAAGCCACATTCTGCACCTGTTACAACAGCAGGACTGAACAATCAGAGTAGCTAGAATGCAGGCCTTTCATGCAATTTCATGTTTTCGTACTGTTTTTAATTTAGTACAGGTTATACAGAATTTGCTTTCTGTTTTTATTAGCTTTACACATATAGTGTAAATGATTTTGTGATTAAGGTTTGTAGTAACAAGGCATGCCAACCATGACCTGAACTATTACTCATCTTACCCCCCCCCCACACACACACACACACATACTTGCACACACAAAGTATTTGGCTTCAAGCGAGCATTTCACTAATCACTTCTTCAGTCTGGCTGGCATATCTGTGTCTAGATGAGTGCGTACAGGTTTCCAAGAGTCCTACTCAGGATATTTATTTTTCTAAGTTAACTGCCAAGTGTTAAAACCATCTCATGATTATGAGGGACAGCCTGCTGAACAGTAGGGAAATTTCATTTTTTCCGAGTACCATATTACAAAGTTCTTTAGTTTTAGTCCTGGAGATTCACAGAACGTTGCAGTTTGTTTTCCCTGCTGTTAAGCTTCTGATTCAATTGATGCAATCCTGATGAGCTGGAATCAGTGTGTTAGATCTAGGAAAAAACTACCCTCTAAAACTACTCTTAAAAACCTACTTTTTGAACGGACTGGAACTGGAGCTTGGATCTTTGTATTCCATTGTAGTGACAAGTATTTCAAAAATTGCCTGAAGCTGACATAAATAAACACAGCTAATATAAAAAACCTCTATCTATCTCATTTGTCAATTTCTTTTGATCTCTGAATAGTCTTCATATTGCAGGAGAGCGTAAATATATAAAAAGACGAGAAGAGTTCACAAGCTTTACACCTCACCTGGGTTTGCCAGCTCACAGCCCCGGTTCTCCAACACGTCCTCAAGAGGGGTGTCGAAAATGAACTGCACGTTCTGCAGCAAGCCCTGAGATGAACACAAAGGCAATAGTAAGCATCAGCAGCCAGCCCTATGGTGCTATGCACTGGAAAGAGGGCTCCACAGTATACACAAAATGTTGGCATTGCAATTATTTTGCTACATATTGCAACCAGGATATCCCTTGCTAGCCCCCATATCCTAAATTTTTTAATATCTACTTATAACATTGGTGTGGTTTTAAGTACTCAAAACAGTTACAGTTCACATTTACATATTTCCAAAGTCTCTTTATACTTTAAAACTAAACAGGCGGTATTTGTTAACATGCCTTTAAGATTGATGTATGTAAGTGACCTCTGTTCTGATTGAATGCCCTGTATGTAAAGGCAATCCAACCTGAAATGCTCTGAATGGACAGAGCTAAACTGCTGAGTAATGGGTCCAAAAGAAAAACTACTGCACATCACTAATGCTTACAGTTTAAAGGTAGTCAGTCCACTTACTTACCTTATAAACATCACCTCCAACCAAAAGATTCCCAAATCTAGTCATCAGACCCCTAGAAAGTCCATTTTTTTCTCTGTGTCACCTTCCAGCCCAATTCTACCTGGGATTAATGGTTAATGATTGCTTGCTTCAGATGTTCTGAGCTAGTATAGATTAAGAAAGTGGCCCTGAGAAGGCCCCTCTGAGAAGTCCACTGGGCTGCTCTAATTCACATTCTAACTGTACTTGCATATACCATATGAATGGTGTAATATTCTCACCCTGAAGTGCGTCTCACGGCTGGAACCCTTGGCCACAAACATGCGTCCACCAGGGGCACTAAGGTGCTCATAGAAAGGCTCGTCCAGAATGAAGCTGTCGATCAGTCCACAGTTCACGTACAGGGTTGCTGTCTCGCCATGCACATGCAGCGTGACATTCTTCCACTGCGAGTCCGACAGGTCAACGTCCTCGAAGGATATGATGTTGCGTGAGCCGTCTGCCCACCAGTACACCAGGTCCAGCGTGTTGGTGCGTCCGTCAGACACAACCTCAAACTGCCTGCGCCCACTGGGGCCTTCCAGGGCCATGATGGTGCCTCGGGATGTGCGGTCCTGGCGCAGCGTCGCCGTCAAAATGAAACCCTCATTGTTCTGGATCTGCAGTAGAAGTTGCTGCAGGGCCTCTGGGCTCACAGAGGGCAGCATGTCAAAACGGATGAAGCGGTAAGCCGGGGAGTCAGGCAGGAGGCCTCTGAAGAGCTTCACCCCAATGGTCTTCCTTGTGATCCCGCTGCGTTCGAACAGGTCAAACACAGTTTCGTCCTCCACCTGTCCATCTACACAAAGGCACACATGAAGGCTTCATTTAAACACACAATTCAGATTTTTTGCCTAAATGATGCATAGATCTTTTTTTTTTTTGAGCTGTACATCTGCACAAAGGCACACATGAATTTGAATTACACATGCAATGGCTACAAGGCTTCGTTCACATATACAAATCCAATTTTTTTTGCCTAAATGGTAAAAAGAATTGGGGTTTTTAGAGCTGTGTGAACACTGGTACACTGGTAATACATGATAATAATAAGGATAGTCACTCCCTAAACAAGCCGGTGCACCCAAAGATTTGTTACACAATTCTGTAACCTAAGAATAGCTCAATCAGTTTGTACTGAAGTCCCTGTAGCTACTGAATAATAAGCCTTTTTATTAAATAAACCTGGAGTGTTAACGGGTTAAATCATACTTCACTGCACATGCGTATATCATTGTCATCATCATCACCATCATCATCAGCCAGCATGGACCACCAGTGGTTAACTTTGTGATAAAATTGGCCCATGCAAGTATTTCAGGACAGTAGTCTGTTCACACTAATGACAGATTTGAGTGACTTGCAAACACAAATTAACCACCAAGGCAGAAAGATCAGATCTGAGTGAAAAAAGTAAAAATCAAATAGTAAGGCTTGTAACACACACCTAACATACCTGGCTCCACGGCGACGGCACACATGAACCAAAGGGTCAGGGCAAAGTGGCATCCTCGGAGAAGCATCATTCCTGACAACACACAAACCTGTTTATTCTGCAGCTTTCTCATTGCCTAGACTTTCCTAAACATGAATGCAAAACAGCCTTAAAGGGTTTGTGCATTAATTGTGCACGTCAGCTCCTCAGAAGGGCTCAACATATTTGGCATATTTGAGGAAAATTGGCCCTCAGTTTTCCTCAAATATGATATATAGAACATTTTTCGAATAAGTTCAAGACTACCTTCAACTTCTAGACTACCTTCAAAAACCAAAGCTGCCTGTTGTAGAACAGGTCTCCACTTTCTGTTCTGAAAAAGACCTACAAGGCTTCATTACCTCCATCTTTCAACGCATCCCTTCTTACCTGAACTGAAGACGCACTCCTTGGATTACTGGAAAAAGAATCAAATGCCAGATTCTTCACAGACCTCAAAAACGGATAGATGCTTTTCTCATGAATCAGCTCCGCAGGGATATAATCCCAAAGAAAGAGGCAGAAAGACTGTGCGTAAAAAGCGGATCCAAATGATTCCAAGCGCAGTGGCTCATGCAGGGCTAACGAAGAGGAAACGGAGAGCTGACGGAAGGGTGAGATAAAGGGGGGATAACGTCTATCACTTGTTTCCGTTAAGCGATGTCGTCGTGTGTTGAGGTGCGGTGGCTGTTCAGAGTGAAATGTGGTGCACTCTGAGCGGAGCCGAGACGCTGCGCTCCTCCCTAAAGCTAAAGCCACTCGGGTTCAGGTTTTATCGCCAGTGCGCCTCCGTGCTTTCGAGGAGGAGCCATGTGGACAGAGGGGGAGTTATGCAGGGCACCGAAGGGACCGGGCCTGTTGTTCCTGACACTCTCCGCTCGCTTATACACTCAGTTTCGTCCGGGCTTTTAGGCTATGATGAACTCACAGTCTGGTGGTCTGTGACCATCTACCCAACGCTGGACACCGCGTTTTCGCCCATGTATAGAATCAAGCCAGTGAACTTTCTGGGATCTTGTTTGCTGATGCTGTTTTGAGTTTGCAACACACTGTCTGTTCATTCACTTTACTACACCTTAAAAAAGATGGTTCTTCAAGAGTTCTTTAGTAAAGGCAATGGCTATTTAGAACCATGAGTTCTATATAGAATCATTTCATGCTTAAATGGTTCTTTGCATAAAATGGTTCCTCAGTTTGATGCAGAATGTGGTGTATGTGGTTCTATAATAGACAGCCGTTTTGAAGATGGTTCTATATAGCACCAAAAAGGGTTTTTCTGTTGTTACAGTGTCAAACTTGTAACCGTTTAGAACAAATTTCAAAAAGGTTCCTGATGCCCAGCATGAAATGGTTCTGCATAGAACTCATGCTCCTAAATAGAACCACTGCCTTAACTAAAGAACCCTTGGAGAACTTTTTAAGTGTGAAGAAAACCACCTTGTTCAGCTTGCTGTTGCGTGAGACTAACTCCATGCTGTGTACAATTTGCATTTGTCATTTTCTAGCCCTTCATTAATGATGTCAGTTTCTGACCACAGAACCCCTCTTCTGTGAATATTTTTGGCAGGCGGACCACTGTTAACCTCTTAAAAGCCTCTTCCCTGTATCCCAGCTCCTGGTTTGCTGTACACTCTGTGGCCATCACCAGACTGCCCCCTCCTTAAAAGTCCATCATCCAGGTGACCCAACATGGCCCGAACAAAGACGCTTGGGTACATGAGGACACGCTACCTCCCCTGTGGTCTCTTCAGAGAAGAGGTATCAGAACAACCCCTTTCCACACAAATGCCACGGGCTGCGCGTTTCCTCAGCCATGCACACAGCCAGTCCTCTCTCAGGGCCATGACCTGGCCACAGGCGTTCCTCAACACACCCTGCTCTCTGCATGCTGCCTTGCTTCAACCTTGGCGGGCCGCCGAACTGCATCTCTATGGGTGTACTGTCCACTTGAGTGCCGGACCTTTATGTCCTCCTTAGTACGGCAGGCCTCTTCACAGCCCACCACATCAGGTCTGCTGCTACCGGGGATGATGACAGCAGCAGCAGCAATCATCTCTGCCACGCTGGTAGGACCAACTCCACTCCACTTGCTCACACAACTATACCAGCACCACACATAGCACCAACAGTCCTGTGGTCAGAAACTCACTGACAATGAATGTGGTGGAGGGTGGATTACACATGACAACAAATGGGCTACATTTACCCTGCTGAAAAAAACAGCACATGATGATGCCGGTCTGGTGCTGGTTTAGCGGATCAGGATGGTCTTGCTGGTTGACCAGAATACTAGTATCAAAAACACAACATATGCTGCTTTAGCTGCTGACATGTCATAGCTTATTAAAGAAAAACAGCTAATGTTTTTTTGTAGATGTAGATGCTTTGAATATGCTCAGTCTGTCTTTAAGTAACAATCAACTCAAAATCTATTAAATGCAACCTAACCCTAACCTTAACTACAGCACAAAACCTATACCTACTCCTAAACCTAACCCTAACCTTAACTACAACACAAAACCTATACCTACTCCTAAACCTAACCCTAACCACAATGTTGTTTATAATCAAGTGTCTCCAGGAAGTTTGTTAATAACATAAGTATCTGTAAATCATCTATAGGGAACCATCCATATAAAGTGTGACTAAAAAGTCTCCAAAATGGTAACTTTCCAGGAGAATGCAAAAACATTGTTAACTTTTAATGTGATTTAAGGTGACATTATTTTTTTTCAAGCCATTTTGAAACATTTCTATTGGTCCATTCATCGTAAATTTTTCACACATTGCAAGGGCAGCTGTTGAGCTCAAACAGTATAAAAAAACTAAAAATCACAAAAAGTGATTTGTAAGATTTTTTTCCCAGCCATGAAATGCTGATTTTGCTAGTGACTACACTGGTCTATGCTGTTTTTTTTCTATCAGGGGTGGAATGCAGGGCTGGTAATACAGTAAAAACCTTATCCTGTTATATTTTTCCATATCATTCCATGATTATGACGAACTGTTATATCCAAAGGTTTATTCTGTTACTGGATCTATGATATATGAAAAAAATTAAACCCATTCCACACAGGAAAGGATATGTGGCTTTTTTGCCACAATCACCTTTTGCTTTTAAACATTTTCTCAAATTGCCTTTTGGACTTTAACACTGAAAATTGCTAGCTAGCTAACTCTGCTAGCTGTCCCAATAGTTTGTACTGTTATGAGTGAATGGCGAGACTTCCTCTCTCCTGTCATCTGGCGAGTGAAAAGCACACATCACCACCTAGTGTACCAAAAAGGAGATAGTTCAAAGTATGCAGAAATGCATAAATATTAAGCATGAATATTGAGCAACGATTCATCAAATGTAATTTTACCAATCATTATTATGGTGAGTGTATAGATTTCAGCTTTCATTGGAGGTCAGAGGTCTTCTTCCCTTTGTTTGTCCATTAGGTATGGAAAATGTTTCAAAGCCAGGCAGGTGCTGCAGAAATATCTTCTATATCAAAAGGCCATAACTTGACATAGAAGACAGATGGTGTGCATTTGTGCATCACAAAGAATGTGAAATAAACCAATATTATTATCCATAACTAATGTGAACTGATTTAGGAACTTGGATAGTGATCAGTAAGCAGGTGAATAAACAGAACGTTGCGGTATGTTTTCAAGTGAATTACCGTGACCTCCAGGTGCTGGGACAGTAACACAAGGAACCTCCGCCATCCCACTAAATGGACATTAGAAAGGCTTTTTTTTCTGGAATACAATTAAAAATGTAAATGTGTCTGGCTTTGTCTTTTGTACACTTATAGTTGTGAATCCCACTCCTAAATACACTCCTAAATAGGATTCCTTGAGAAAAAAAAGTAATTCCTACTGCTATTTCAGGCCTGAATCCCCACTGTATCATTTGTGCCTGGGCTCAAGATGCAATCTTCATTGGGCAGGAGGACAGTAAATTACATACCAGCCAATTGTGGCTTGTGGTGATTACGGTTCTCCTTCTAGCATGATGAGGCACTCCACAATGCTTTAAGAGGGCATAGTTTCATCTGCCACAGGCAACTACACTAGTATTCAGGGGTATTCAGCTACACTAAATATACAAAACCTTAATAGTTAAGTGGTGCTGGTGTTTGATCAGAAAGACTACAGGGTGATAAAGGAAACATACTGCTTTATTGAGATATTGTTATGAGAATGTGGGCTTAGATTTTTTTTAATTGTTATGACAAATATTGAATTGTCAGCCGTTGAAATGGGTTGCTTGGTAGTTACATAATATACACTGCTCAAGAATGTCTGCCAGTTCACATCATATAACCATGCTTCTCAACGTCTAAGCCCTGCAATCTCATTATTGGGAAAAAAAAAGTTTACTGAAATGTATGACAGATGTGTTTCACTGCAGTGGACCAAGGAAGTTTTCAAAACATTCATTCTTTCATTGTGCTCTCCAAATTATAGTCCTCAATTAATGATTGCAGATGTTTGAGCAAGATCACTTTGTTTTTCTGTTTTTGTTAGTGACGTGAGGACTTGAAAGAAGGTTGGGAAAACATTTCTTTCTGCTCTGTTAAATCAGATCTGAGAACCAAAGAGGAGGCATAAACCAGTAATGTCCATATTTTGAATACATCAAAACGTAAGTTGATCTCTGTTCTCATAACTAAGGCCAAACATCTCCAGGAAACGTGTCTAAACATCCGTGTGTCGTAGAGGACTAAACAGTCAAAAGTCATACGGTTTGTGTGGTCCTTTCCAAGTTCACTGTCAATGAGGAGTTCATCGATGTCATTTCGAAAGAGCTGCTGCATTTCAGGCTGATATCTGACTAGGGTCTACTGATGTTGCGAGTTTTTCTGTTTACCAAGTGTGTTTGCTAAGGTGAGTTGACATGTGCTATGTTCTTAGCATTGATCCCTGCCCCACAGTGCTCAGCTTCACTAGAAGAACGTTTAGGCCTTGATGTAATAACATGGAAAAATGAAATCAATCTACACTGGTTTCAGCTAGTTAATATAAAAGTTCACAGTAGATCTCCCAGAGAAATGTAGATGAATGGCTTCAGTTCCTGTCTTTCTTTTTTGTTCTTGGACTACTTCCTATATGGATAATAAATGATGGAGGTTCTTAGCAAATGTCATACTTCTGGGAAAGTGTTTTGTTGTGTGCATGTGTGTGTGTGTGTGGTGTGTGCATGTGGGTTTGTTTTTTTTTTTTGTTTTTTGGTCCAAGCAACTGGAAATAAAAAAGCGTGTAATTGATGCATATAGCAGACAGGAGAGTCTTATCAGGAGATGCATTCTCATCAGTGGAACACAAGCCAATATTCTCCACTCATCATCTACACTTTGGCTTAACAGTGACTAAACTGAGTAGCTGTTAATGTAATAATTAATGTGATAGCACTCAACATAATGTGCAGTCTTGGATCTATATTCTTTTCTTTTTGCTCTTAAAAGAATCACCCTGGCTAGCACAACTATACTTTGGTCCAAGATTTCATTCTTCAATCCCAAATTACTCAATGTAAATCCTCAGTTAGGAGCTGCCGGAGAGCACTATAGCTGATCCAGGACTCGATTCTCATGAGAAACATATATTCTGTGTGTACACAGAAGTTTACTGGAATATAAGAAGAAATCTTCTGTAATACCTCTAGATTTAAAAGTAGCATATCAAGGAAAACTGTATTTCTTAGTTTGTTTGATATAGAATGTAAATACTGTTAAAGTTTCAACATATACAAT